TATGCATGTGACAGCTGGACAATGAATAAGGAAGACTGAAGGAGAGTTGATGCTTTTGAGTTGTGGTGTTGGAGAAGAATGCTGAAAGTACCATGGACTGCTAAGAGAACTGACAAATCTGTCCTGGAGGAAGTGCAGCCAGAATGCTCCTTGGAAGCGAGAATGGCCAGACTTCGTCTCACTTACTTTGGTCATGTTGTCAGAAGGGATCATTCCCTGGAAAAGGATGTCATGCTTGGTAAAGTGGAGGGTCAACAAGAGGGGAAGACCCTCAACAAGATGTATTGACATGGTGGCTGCAGAGCTGGGCTCAGGTATAGTAGGGATCGTGAGGCTGGAACAGGTCCAGGCAGTGTTTCCTTTGTTGTACATAAGGTTGCAATGAGTTGGAGATGACTCGATGGCACATAACAACAACAACAAATGCATGCACATTGTAAGGGCCGATGATATTTTTACTGTCTGTGTAGTAGAGTCCTTCTATCCCTGTGACAGATGTCTGAACTAATTATGCTAAAATTCTTTGTCGTGTATATTGGCCCAAGGATGTGTACATGAAAGTTAAATTCATTCGTTCATATATGCCTGTGCTTCCTGCTTGGATTCAACAAGTATCTGTGGACTGTCTGCTCTGGGCCAGGCACTGGGAGAGACTGCGGCTGGCATACTTGAAACACAGCCACTGCTCTTGTGGCACTGACGGCCCAGCGAGGAGATGGACAGGAAGTAGTCAGGCATCTAATACCCAATGACAAGTGAAAGAGTGGTGCAGAGAGAAGGGGTGGGGCTCAGGGACAGAGCAATGGCGAGTGGGGTGGGGTGGGGGTGGTCAGGGAAACTTGGTGACGTGAACACCAAAAATTGAAGGGTGACAAGTAGTGAGCTCTGTGAAGAACTGATGGAAGATGGTTTTAGGCAGAGAAAACAGCACTTATAAAGGTCTTGTAGGGAGGGACAATGGACATTTTCAGAGGCTTGGAAAAGAATATGTAATCCATTAAAGTGGAAGATACTAAAGCTGAATTTGTAGGAAAACTTGACTCCATGTTATGTTATGATGATAATGTTTTGTATTAAACACATAAACCAGCTGCCATTGAGCCCCCTCTGCCTCCTGG